TGAGCAAAAATCTTCCAGAGAGACTGAGGAAGAGACCATGAGACTGGGCACACTTTTTGGTATAGCATTCATTAATTTAATGAGCTTTTCATTAAATTGCTAACTAGAATGTCCTGACTACCTTTTTTGTAACCGAGAACATTGTTCCTACCGTATATACTGGAGGTCTCAGCAAGCACAATTTTCTGGGTCAGATGCTGAAGCTATGCCCTTCAGTATGACGGTTCTTTTCTTTTCATAGACTTGTTTCATGGCCATAAATATGTAGGTCTAGAGTTAATTTCTTTTGTTCTTTGAAAGTAAACTTTAGTTGATTATCATGTATTTATGCAATTAGTGTAATTAGAACTAACAGCATAATTAGTGTAAATACATGTAATGACATAAATAGAACATGTAATTACAAAATGAAATGGTTTTGTAAAAATCTTTGTTTTTCTTCATGAAAAGAGATACTGCGCATTTCTAAAAGCACTCATGGCTTTTAAACAGATGATTAAGGCAAAGAGCAACAAAGATACCATGATATTTTTTAAAAGAAAATAAGCACTCTAGGCACTTCTCTCCACACCTTTATTTATCTTCAAAGCACAAAACTGAGGCAGGAAGTCCAATATGGCTCTACATAAATGTTAGTCCTGACAGACTGGGATTTAACAAATTCAATTGAAAATTTAAAACAAATAAACCAGAAATCACCAGACTTACCAGTAGCCAGAAATCGCGTATGAGGTTACTGAGCGTACCTGAACAAACAGAAAAGACTGAGGATAATTACTGTTTTTTGTTCCTGGCTTGGTCATTCTGCTGGGAAGCCATGAAGCTGATCCTGGACACAGCCCCCTGCAATACGTATGCCTTTTGCATAAGCCGAAAATTTCTCCTTTCCCAAGTACATCATCATTAGACTAAAGCAAACCTCCTTGCGTCCGCTGTCTTGCAACCAGGATGCCTGGACGCCTGGCTGTGGAGTGGCTTTCCCAGAAGCAGGATGGAGGGTCTCCGCCACCCAGGGTGTCCCAGGTCCAGTGGTCAAAGCCCTCTCCTGGGATATGAGCCATGAGGGTTCAGTCCCTCTGGGGCTGAGGAGGGTCTGGAGGAGTGGGCCACCCGCTCCCTGCCGTCAGCGGGGCTCTGCTGGGGATGGAGGCCAATAACTGCCCATCTAGTGATGGGCCTTCTCCCACCAGAATGACTTCTGCAAAGAAATGAAGGGATTATGCAAAGGAGCTGCTCCTCTGGGGAGCAAGTGCCTGGGGGTTTGGGGTTTGGTTTTGGTTTTGGTTTTTTCTTAAAAGGACCTGAGTTCAGCACAGAAAGAAACAGAATTCCGCCCAAAACTTTTGGCTTTTTTAGAATTTTATATTAGTAAAATTTTGTATTTCTGGCAGCATTTTCCAGGACAGTCTAGCAGTTTCTTAGTTAAAAGAAAAATTATGACCATAAATGCTGGTTATTTAGCTAACACTGTTTTTAATCCCACCTAAGAAGGACAAGAGAGACACATTGCAGTTGTGAATCATATGCTAGTCTTAGGCCTGGATTGAAAATCTGGAGGAACGGAAGCCTCAGTTTTGTGGTTTCCTGCACAGAGGAGAAACAATACACTCTGTCGTATTTGAAAGAAAAACATTGCAGTGGAAGTAGTATTTTGAGTTTAATCCAACGAGCTACATGAGTGTGAAACAGCAAAACCCATAAAAACAAATATGCTGTTAATATAACATGCTTGTTAAAAAGAATACAGCTTCTACTGGGATTTTTTTAAAAAGAAACCATCTTTCAAATATCTATAAAAGCTAACCCTTCCTGTGTTTGATAGTGAGATAATTATCAAGTCCATTTATGAAGGCTCTTCATATGTTAAGCAAGTATGCTGTCATTACATTTAATTAGGTATGTATTCAAATAATTCTAGTATGAAGAGAGGAAATTGTTTAGCGAGCATTCCAGTACTCAAATAATTTTAGTTTAGATGTCAGAAAATGTATGCTCCCCCTACAGTTTAATCTTCGGGTAATATAGGCATTCTGTGCTCCATTGGGAAAATACAATCGCATGTTAACCATTCCAGCTTTCTGATTCTATGCCTAAATGTTGTTATTACTTCTGCTCAGAGCGCCCAGACGTATCCTGCCACAAAGTTACTTTTTGGGGGGGGTGAGGGGAAGCTTGTAATTCCACTCAATTGACTAATTTTCTTCTCAGATCTGCACAGTGGATCTCGGATCAAATATTCATCTTTCCCGTCAGGTGTGGAGCCCCCACTGTGTCTAGCTGGTGTTTTAGACATGTAAGGAGTGAATGTTATTGAAATCAAGGTCTGACATGCAAATGAACACACGTGCTTGTCATTACCACAGTTATGGAAGGCAGAAATATAGCATGAATATATCTAAATTGCCAGTGATGAGATTCGACATCACCATTTTTTAATGTACAGGGAAAATTACATACTAGGAGATCGCGGAAAGAAAATATTCCTGTCTTATGATGTTGTTAGTTCACCTGTTTGACAGAGATATTTTCACATATGTAAGAGGGACGTAGGTATACAATCCTGACCCTCAGGTTTTGAAGAACCCACCTCAAAGCTAGATCTTTTCATCTACAAAGTGAGGATGTGTTTGCTTTCACCCTTTCACTGTGTGAAAGTCAGAATTGCAAAGGAAACGGTAGTTCTGGGGACGTACTGGTTGATTTTATCCTGAACTGAAATGAAAAGTTTTTTCACAAAACTTCACAACAAAAAGGCTTTTCACAAAACAAGAAGGTCAAACTACTTTTGGCTTGGAAGTGTTGAAACATGTTCTCCTGACTCTTCTTTGATGGAAACAGAATGTTTCGACCTTCTACTGCTTAAACACTGTATTTTAGTTTGACCTAAATCTACACATTTTATTTTGGGTGAGTGTGATAATTGCATCTTCCTGTGGCCTTTGGATGTTTATCAGAGTTGGACTGTGGGCCTTGCTTGCTTGGATTTCCTAATAGCTTGGGTTTCGTAGTCAGATTGTCTCTCCTGTGGAACTGCGCCTCCTGAAAATGCCACTAGGGTTACATGATCCAACAAGATTGTTCAGCACAGCAGAAAGAGGAGGAGATCCCCAAGGCCCCACTGTACCACAGATGTGACTCAAAACCAGGGAGTTCAGTTCAGTCTGGGCTTGGAAAAACATAGCAGAATTTCAGGTTTCCATCAAAAAGATGGAATAAAAGCTTCAGGAAAACTTTTTCTGCAAGGAAAAATTTCCCAGTGAAAAATCACTGGCAGAAAATTTAGAATCTGCTCTAGTACTTGCCCTGTTAGTGCATTGGCATGTTTTGAAGATTTCTTAGTATGAAGATGTGTTTTGTGCATACATGGTGTACCAGAGTTCTGAGTAATATTTTAAAACAGGTTCCTCACTGCAAAATGAGTTCGCCAGTGTCAGTAGGAGATGTTTGTTCACTCCCCATTGAGGGAAAATATTGGTTCAATGTACCTCTTCATAATTCAGGCACATGATATTCTTTCTGTAACTTGGGAAGAGAAATTTCTGAAAGTTTTTTTGGGGGGAGGGGACTGTCAATATGCTTCAGATACCTTGTTTAGTGTTGTAAAGTGCGTTAGGAATGTATTGTATCTTGGTTTACTTCATACAGCTTGCTCACATCCAATAAAAGCCAGTGCCACGTCCAGATAGTAATAGTAATACACAATTACTTCTCTGAAGAGTGGAGTTACAAAGCAGCTAGCAATATGAAATTGAACCGATTGAATTGACTGAATTTTGATCATGCGCTGTATAAAATCAGTAGTCATACAGCACTGGCTTCATCAGTCTCTGAATTGCTAAACTTCATATAGTCATACAAGTAGGATGTGACTGACCAGGCATATCTGAAGCAAGTCTTCAATTAAAGTTCTTTATATTACTATGCATTCAAATAAGATACATTTCTAAAAGACCTTTACCGGGTTTATTCTGTCAATGCTAGATTTATTTATTTACTTACTTCTACTGTGATTGTTGTAGTAGAAAATCTAACCCCTGCTTATTTTTTCCGTAGAAAATTGCCTTCATGGTAGCATTAGGACTGGTTACAACAGAACATTTGGAAGGTAAGCTGGCATATGCTGTTTTACAGTTCAGTTTTTGAGTGAAATCTTTTCTCTTGGCTGCTCTGCTCTGCAGCCAACAGGAATGGGTGATTCTGTTTTCTGAAGGGCAATGAAAAATCAGGTGAAATGTTATCTATGCAAAATTGCACAATTTTCAGCCTCAAAATAATGGGTGACCTTACTTTGCTCTGCCTCCCATCCCATTGCCCAGCTCAGGGGGCGTGAGACTTGGCTCTGCAGCCAGCACCAGCAGGCTTGGCATAAGATGGCATTTGGGCTCACTCAGTCATCATGGTCCTTTAAAGGATGTCAATAACTGGAGGACGACAGTGAAGCAAAAAGACTGCAAAGGCTCTGACCAGCACTCATCTGGTTGAAGAATCAGCGAAGTTCAAAGATGTTTACCCAGATCTTCTGTAGCAAGCATGCCCTCTCCTCTTTCCCCATGTGAGACGGACTTTCATTTTTTGAGTTAATCATCTGTCATCTCTAGAGTTGCACAGAATAATATGTAAAATAGTGGTGAAAATCTGACATTTGTTTTATAAGATTTTAAGAAAATTAGAAAACTGCCTCTCACAAAGACTTCCTTCCCTCCATTTCTCCCCATTTAGCCAGAAAATAAACAAACTTCCAGTCCCATCCTGCTCTTGTGTGAGAGCTGCTAGCATGCCTTCCTAGGCTTCTGAATATGAGTTCAAACAAATATTGCACATAAACTAAATGCAGTATCGCATAGTGTTCAGCTTATTTTTCCAACCTTCCAAAAATGCCTTGCAAGAGTTAGCAGATTTGTACCTTTCTTTGCCTTAACTTTGTCTTTCTGAAAACATAGATGAGGGGAAAAAAGAGCTTGTTCAGCAAGTTTGCCAGTGGTGTGAGATGAGTTGGGGGTTTCTTGGCAGAATGGGTTAGTTCTCATGGACAGAGAAGATACAGCTATTTTTAAGAAAAAGTCTACATCTTGATGTGTTTTAGTTACATGCTCAGCTAATACAAGTTGGTGTGGTTCCACTGGTATAAGGAGAAAAATCTGGTATCGGTGTCAGCTGACAATGACTGTTGATCACAAAAAATGTTAACGATAATTGAGATTTACCACCCACATGGACCATCGTCAGCAAAATACTTAGGAATTTACAGTGCACAGAGTTTAAGTTTCATGTGCTTTAGAGTTAGGCACATGTTTAGATATCTTGCTGACTCAAGAGATATCTACCATTTTACAGCTTGATTTCTTTTTAGTAAGATTCCTTGTGCTTCTGTTCCATGGTCTTAAGCAAGGTTGTGAATTAGGGAGAAAATACCATCTTAATTGTAAGGACTCCTCAATATATGCAGCAGGTTTTCTGTGGGTCTTGTTGACTTTTTTCAGTGTCTTTCCTCTTTAAATCTGCATTTTAGAAAATAATTTAATGTCCCAGTGACTGAAAATTTGAAAGTAGTTTAAAGAAACTTTAAGCCATTGGCCTTTTTAATCCCCTAATGGTAATGGATTGAAATGGAACTTAAAAAGCTACAGCAATTTTGGGAGAAGATTTATAATCCAACAAGTGCAAATGATTACTGGTTCTTGTTTTCTTTGTCTAAGGAAAATAGGACAACATTTGTAATTACGCTGAAGTGCAAATTATGCTTACAACAGAGACAACTTCATTTTGAATAATTCTTTACCCTTTGATTTTATTGGAACTAATAAATTGTTTGTGTGGATTTAATGCTTATGTTCAAAACGCCAAGTACCGCACTGCTCTGTTTGTTTTACAGTAAGTGCGGAGACACACATTTTGAACCTAACTGCTACAATACTAGTCCTGCAGAATCAATTCTTTCAGACAAATTCAGTTTTTATATTCCTACTAGCTTTAAATAAATGGCTTCCACCAAGAGCTATTTACTATGGAAAGGCTATTTCTTCATGAGTATGGGTGATTACAACTGTCAAAAATACCCTTCTAGCTTTCACATGCTAAAGGTTATTATTTTAGTGCTATGTCATATTTACGGTTATCAGCCATTGTTATTTATCAGGAAGCAGTGGTCATTACACAGTTCAGTTTATTTTAGTACTTCTAATGTATTTCTCAATTTCACATTTTTGGAATTAAACCGTATCAAGCTTGGGTCATTAAAAGCTTATTCACTCAATATCATTAATTCACAGTGTTACTGCTTTTCTTCATTTTATTCATTAATTTTGTGGTGAAGAGCTATGATCCACTTTTATATGGATTTTTCTGTCAGCTTTTCCATCTAATGTCCAGAGGAGCATCTTCCCCCTTACTGGGAAAAGAGGTCTGTTCTGCAGAGCCCGAGTGTGAGGCATCTTTAGAGGCCTTTACCAGTAAATGAACACAGCCGCTTCCACTGACTGACATTCTGCAAGCTACGGCTTTCCCTGAAGATAAATTGTCATTACAGGCCTCACAGAATGACCGTACAGGGTGTTTATTGAGGAAGGCAGCAGCTTATTGAAGCTTTGCCTCCAACATAAAGATATCTTCAGATTTATTCACCTCTGTCAAATGTGTTACAGTTCAGAGGTTTTTTTTTTTTTACTGTTTGGGTTATATTTTTTAAATTAATAAATTAAGGAATAAGGTAGCCCAATTCTATGATGCAGTGTATGGTTGTAACATATTAAATCTCTTTCTCTAGGATATTAGAACACCTTTTAGCATTACCATTGTGTAAAAAAAAAAAAAAAAAAAGTAGATAGAAAGCAAAACTTTAAAAGAATTCCTTAGTTCAGGTTCTAAAAATGCACATCTTGTTTTACCATGGCAAAATAAAAACCCTGAAATATTTCCGTCTAGGTTACTGGGATGTTTTAATCAGTTAAAACAAATTATTTATTTTTACTTCATTAAGCCCTGCTTTGAAACATACACAATACTCTCTAGCAGAAGTAACAAGTAACAAAAGATAGTATACCAGCGTATGCTTTTGTTCTACCTTGGTGTGATTTTTGACAGATACACTCTTAGATGTACATACTCCTTATATCACAAGCATGGATATTTTTTGTTCACTGTTTCCATAAATAAAGTGCTGATATTGTGCTCTCTCTCCCTGATGGATGCATAGGGTGGAGTACATCTAGAGCTGTTTCAGTTCATTACTCTCTCTCTCTCTTTATTTCCATCTATTCCCACTGCTATTACTACCCCACCCCACCCCACCCCCCCAGCTTTTATCTCTCTACCATAGCGATGCCTCTTCCAAAGCTGCGTTCCAGGTATCTACCACATGTGTGATTCAGACTCCATCAAATATTTCTGTTGCCTTGGTGAGAGCATGTACTGAAGAAATTCACTCTTAAACCTGGGTCCCAAAGGGGCAGAGAGCTACAGATCCATCACAGTCCTCTTGTGAAGACACTCGACCCAGTTATGGACATGCAAAGCTCTGCTGTGTCGAATTCTTTGTTTCTTTTTCTGGGCCAGTGAAAAGTCACTTTCTTGTATCCCTGTCACCACTTGTGAAAGTCTAAGCCTGGGCTGTCCTAACTCCAGCTTTTTCCCTACGCTGCCACAAGGGTGCCAAGATGCTGCAAGCCCTGGATTCACTGACCACATAGCGTGGGTTACTGAGCCTGGCTGCAAGAACCATGGCTCCAGCTCACACTGTTGAGACCAAAGTAAAGGATCAGCGGAGGGCCACTTCCTCTATTTCTTTGCCAGCATCAAGGCACAGGGTTCCTCTGTTGTGACATCTCTGTCACCTTTTGGCCTTGAGAGCATTCCCCTTACAAGAACTGATGTTGACATCAAGAACAACCTGGTGGCTCTGTGGCAGGCTACAGGATCTGTGTCTGGCACTTACCCTGCTGCTGAGGCCTGATTCACTTTAGAGCATGCCAAAGGGTCTGGAAGCTTCAGGATGGAGATTTCAGCATAGCCAGATGAGTGTTTTATAGGAAATACTTTCACAGTGGGATAGAACTGTTACCCATACAAGATCCTCTGGTTTGGAGTCTGTGTAGCACTGCGGATGTTAACAAGTTGCTGGCAGTGGTTGCAGCCGTGGCATTTATCACACATCTCAGTGCAGCCTCGGATCACACGTTTCTTGGTAGTGAGATTCTGTATAGCTCCCTGAGTCACATGGCAGCATATGTCTAGCTCATGTCAGACTGTGAATACAGACCTGCCGGTACTCTTTGAATTGCCCTAGGAAAAGACACCTTTTGAGCGTGAGAGGTGACATGTTCCTGTGCCAGTGGGAAAACCCAGCCAGAATATGCAAGTAGTTGCTCTTCTGTTTTTCTCGTCTATCCAATTTCCTTCTGATACATCCATCACTCCAAGGGTGGTGACTTAGCCAATAGTCTTTTGTGAATGAAAAGTTTCAAATCAATATCTTGGAACTCAGGCCAGTACAAAATCCATGCAAAGTGTTGGCCTCATCTCTAGGGACACCGTGTCTAAGACATGACCGACAATACTAATACCTTTTACTGTAGCAATGCTTAAAGTGGTACCTGGCCCCTTTTACTCTGTGGGGAAGTGATCAACATTTGGAAAGGGTGCCTGGAAACCAGAACTATGTGATGGGAATCCAATTCCCATGTATCGTGAACATCCTGAAAGCTGGACTGTATCTTACTGTTGGATTGCAAGTGGGAGATATAGTGCTCAATACCCTGAGGATGTTCTGAGATAGGCCTCTTTAGTTCAGACATTAACGAAAGATGCCAGACCTTCTGCAGAACCAGATGGTGTCCTGAGTTTCTGTTGGGTGCGCTCCTGCCAGTTCCTCTTATTCTGAAAGATTTACTTAGAGTAAGTCAGAACGGAGGTATTAGCATCGCAGGGGCATTTAGACTAATGAGATCCCTCTGGCACCTGAGTGCAGAGTCTAAACTTTTCCTTACAATATTCATGTAGGAAACATTTTGGAATAGAGCATCAGCCCAGCTGTGCACACTTCATGCCCTGGGATGGATGCTGGGTGGCTCTCCTTGCTGAAATATGTCTGCTCTTACTTTATTATCAAAATAAAAAGTAGGCTCTAAAATACATGGTTGTAATAATCTCACCATTCTGAACTGACAAAGGAGCTGGAAAAAGAGATTCCGTATGATGGAAATGAAGTCCTAGCTCAGATTAAAGTAGCATTAAACCTGCAGATTTCAGTGGTCGAGGAATCCACTCACTCTCTCTGTGTGTGTTTACAGAAGTAGGCACATGGCTAATTGTTGCTAAATGCAGTCCTTGGCAAGTGCCATCTTCAATAGGTGTTACCATTTAGTGGAAAGGAGTTCTCTTGTGTTTCACCCTTTTCTGAACAGGACTGCAATTCTATGAGCCTGTCTTTGCGCTGCTGTTTCCAGTGAGACAAATACCTGTACGGCTCATAACAACATTTTGCATGCTCAGGATCGTGAAGTTGTATATTTTTTGACGGATAAATCATCACACCCTAGTTAGAACTGAATCTAGCCATGCCGTTCTGATCATGCTTTTTCTAACCTCCGCAGAGGAAAAATAATGTAAATTAAATTTAAAAGGATCTTTGTGCTTTCATCTGATATGAATTAAAAGGCTTAACTGCTTTAAATGCTTCATTTTTGTTAATAGCAGACATTGATGGTATTTTGAAAGCTATCTGTTGATGCTTGCTGAATATCTGTCTGAAGGGATCATAATAAAGATCTTGTAGGGCAGCAGAAGTCCAGCTTGGAGGAGGGAAAAAATAAAAAATGCCTGTGTTCTGAATCTTACAAGGAAAAGCTTATTAATGTCAAACCTTGAACTGCAGCAAATATCAGTGCTGATGCAACCCAGTTAGTTATACTTTAGAAACTGAAACTGAACACAAACCCCAAGGGGCTGAGGGTAAGAGCGTCTTGCTTAACAAGTTAGATCTACATTTTTCCCTGATGAATGAGAAGCACACAATTCATGTTTCTTTCCATGGTTACAGAAATCCAGAGCAAGCGTCAGGAAAGAAAGAGAAGAAGCACAGCAAATCCAGCCTACAGTGGACTCTTGGAAACAGAGGTACTTTATCATTCACTTTTTTTATCACAGTTCTATTTCATGTCAATAAAAGGTTTAAGTGCTTCTTATTACAAAAGTGTATATGAATGCAGAACCACACATTTACTTGTAAAGAGATATTGATGTGGAAAGGAAAGATCTCATCTCAGTAGCTAAGCAACAGGTTTTCACCCCACAACATCACTTGCTTCAAACTAGAATTCGTCTTAGTTTTAATAAAGGCCAAAAGGACTAGATTAATGTAGGGCAGAACTGAAGAACAGAAGTGCTACAGTATGTTCAAACTTGCATTGCTATTTCTCTTTTCCTATGTGCCAAATAATAAATGGAGAACTTTGCTTTTTTTATTAGTGACATTCATAAAAGGGATGTGTTGGTTTAAGAATCAGTGTGCTCTGCAGGGGGTATGGAAGCCTGCATAATAAATATAATAATGCATAATTAAAAATAAAATGCTCTGGATAATCTCTGTTGTCTGTTACGCTTATGCTATTACATTTATAGTAGTAGCAAAATTTGGTCCTACATAATATTGGATTGCAAACCTGGTGTAAAATCAGCATATAAATAGACTTAACTTTTTCTGAAATTGTTTTTTTCTTTGTTTCTGAACTGACATTTATGCATTTATTCAGCTTATTAAAATTCCTCCTTTAAAATTTCAGCACAGTTTGGGGTTACTATTTGAACTTCCTACAGGAATGAAATTGATTTGCAGCCAGCTCTCCATTTAAGCAAGATTTCTCTGTGTTCTGAGTTCTTTAAGGCGAAAGGAAGTGATTTTTCTTTGTTTAGGTACAAGCAATCCAGAATCTTTGGTACGCCAACGTTTCAGATTTCTGTGTTTGTTGGCAGACAGCAGACAGATGAGGCTAAGAAGAGACCCACCATTGTAGTCAAGCTGCTTAGTGGCTTGATTGTTCTTTTTTTGAAAGTACTGGAGATTTTTATACTCCAGAGCTGCTCTGGGCACTTGAATTCTTCAGAACCCCTCAACTTTTCTCTAGCGACCTCTTCAGAGCAAATACTGATGTCCACACGTCCAGTATTTAACACAGTAGGAACCTTAGCCGTGCTAGCATTACATTTGTAGTGTCTTCTCGTAGACCTTTTTGTCCTGATGAGTTTATTAACATAGTGGCAGCAGAGTTTTGTGGCTGTAGTCTGACTGGTGTTTGTGAGAAACTCAATTATCTTAGAGCAGGGGTGGAGGAGGTGATGAAGGAGGTCTGCTGCACCCCTAGTTCATCCTTCTCATTATATCTATTCTCAAAAGCATATCTGAAATGAAAGATGGCATGGAGAAAGAAATGTTTGTGAAAGAGTCCTGTGGCCGATCAGCTGTGTCCTCATTAGGAGTTGTCATTAAGTACTGACCATGGGGAATGCCATTCAAGTAAAATGGAGGCAGATGGTTTTTCTCTGATCAATTAGCTGCTCAGATTGATTTGCTAATCAGTGAGTTGAGGTGTTTTGTGGCATTTCAGGCATTTTGGTGCAGTTTAATTTACGGTTAGTCTACTGAATGATCTTTAATTCATGATTGTTTAAATTGAAATTGCATATAAATTAGACTTTTTCTTTGCCAACGCCCCTCAAAACGGCAGGAGCTCAGCATCTGTAGTGGTGATGCTAACTTCCTTGATTACAAAAATGTGATCACGGCTTTATGTCTTCATGTGAATGTTGTGCCTTTTCTTTTCAAAGATTTTTTTCTTAAAAAAAAAAGAGATACCATTCCATTTTACCACCCTCAGTAGCTTTTTTTTTCTTTTTTCTTTCTTTTTTTTTCTTTTTTTTTTTTTTAATAGGAAAGGGTTAAGTTTCAGGCTGGGTATTTTTTGAAGGAAGAAACATCTATGCAAAATTCATTAACAGACTGGCAGGCACCCGTGTATAAGAGAACAGTTTACTCACCACAGAATAAATCATTTATTAGCAAAAACCCTCTAATGTTCCTCCAAGCAGAGTCTAACAACATGTAATGGAGGAAAATGGTACTGTTTCCAGTTCTGCTGTACAAGTATTGGATGGCTCAGAGAAACAATTAGGGGTTATATAGACTGTTAATGAAGCCCGGCTTGCTATTGACCAACAACTTTTACCATCTGACAAGTTGGCGATGGGCTGCATTAAATTAGTTAAACATCTCAGTCAGGTTTCCAGTGGTCTGTGTTTGCAAGTTTGAAAATCTTTGGTGACCTCAGCAGACTGAGATTGCTGCCAGGTCCTAGAAGTGATACACATTAACTTCTGAAAGAGAAATATTTTGCTTAGGCCCTAATACATTGCTTGCAAATGAAATACGTTCCTACCAACTGTAGGCAAGTCTCACAGAAGATAGTGATGTTTTTCTGCAGGTGGGAAGTCCATCACCGTTTCTATATATATGCAAATAAAGATGGCATCTCACAGCAACAATTTATGATGCAGATTTTCCTATATGGACATTGTTTATCTGCTAGGTTTGGAGTTACTGTTGCTGTTGCCTTGCTCTTACCAACCTCTGGAACGTATCCTGAAACTCAATCAATAACATTTGCAATTTGCATTTCTCTCTCGTTAATAAAATCTAATGCACGTCTAACTGCTCTATGAAGAACTTGTTAGAAAGGTAAATAAAACAGCTGTTTGTATGACCGTCTCAGGGGTTAGCAACAAATATTCTAAGCACAGAACTGGCTTCTGGATAGCTGGTTAGGTATGAGGGAAGCTCATGAAGATTGTTAATATGAGTTAATAGTAATATGTTAAGATGTCTCTTACCATTGTAAGAGACAACCAGAATACTTTTCAATGACACTGTGGTTGGTTTCTTTTCCCTTGTAGCGGAAACGCCTTGCATCAAATTATTTGAATAACCCCTTGTTCCTTTCAACAAGAGGTAAGCATATTTTAAAATGAATATACTACTATTCTAATGATATATTAAATATTTATTGGTAGGATTTCATATGAATTACTGCTAGGGTACCATAGGGCATTACTTCGTGTAAGGTCCCTGCACTTTTTAGTGCGCAGTGAAAATAGATGGTTTTCCTGCAAAAACAGTTGAAGGATAAGGCTAAAGGTCGAAACTGTGCAGAAACGGATCCACAGTCTCTGCAATCAGTGGAAAATCCAATCTCTAGTATTGTAAGCAACAGGCAGTGAGAGGACTGATTGAAGAAGGCAGCGTTGCCAACCCCAAATGCTTAAAAATATATATTGAAAAATTGGGATTTAAAAAATAATTACTATTCTGGGCTTTTCATTTGCCTCTTTTCATCAGGTTTAAGAAACTGCTGTCCATCCTCAAGGGCTAGACATTTACCATACCTTTTGCTTTAAAAACACTGCCTGAAAACCACTCAGTTTTTCTAACTCTGAGAGCTGGAGCCATGAATCTAGATTTGATGGCCTTGAAGATGCCTTCCAATCTTGTATTTATAAGAACTTCAAATGCTGAAAATTTCATGGTAAAAGCCTTGAGAATGAACAACCCAGAGGAGCCATTTGGGGATGATGATGACTAGCTCATGTGAAGAAGCCCATTCCAGGAAAAACATGCAACATATAGAGAAGGCAAAGAGTTGGGAAGTGGGAGATGGAACAAGGAGAACACTGAGTACAGTTTAATTCTTCAGATGAGGCCCATGTAGGATTTTAAGAGAGAAAGAGAGAAGCTTGAGTTGCATTTCAGAAGAGGAGAGAAAGCCAGTAAAGAAATGTGATTGCATCCTTGCCCTTGTGTTGCCTTTATAACTTAGACTCTACCGTGGTGTGTTAGAGGTAAGGGAAGACAGGCCTTTTTCTAAGCCCAATATTATTTCAGTATTAGGAGCATTTACAAGGGTAATTCCAATTAAGACATGAAGTTTTGGCAGTTTTTCAGTGTTTGCTCAATACCCCTGTCAAGTGTCATGTTTAGCACTTGAGATTCACCTTTCTGGCCCTGCCTTGAATTCCTGCGCCACAGGATCGCCAACTGAAATGCAGCGGTGTTTCTCTCTACCTTCAAAACTTCATGTGCTAGATGCAGACAATTGCCCTACTTACCATATGCCTCTGATGCACAGGGTCTCAGAGGACATGAGAGGTTATTACACGGTAAACAGCTATGATGACATGCCTCTTAGCAGGAGCCCATGCTCATGTGAGCCCCAGTGGAAAGAATATTATTCCTGGCTTAGTTTTATCTTCAAAATTGAAATTATAATTTGTCTTATCATAGCACTTGTTTTTCCCATGTAAACACATGGGAAAAACAGGAGAGAATGGCAATGTTAGCCAGCTGTGCTGTTAGCCCCTTAGTGGATTTTGTTTAAGTTAGTGTTTGATGTCTCTGACCACCTTTGCACCACGTGTTTCCCATTTTATTTGCAAGGAAGCAGGCAGATGACAGAGTTCCAGTGATGCAGCTGTCTCAGAGCCGCTTGGAAATCCGCACACTCTCTCCTTAATTCTTAATTCCTCTTCGAGTCCTGTATCTTTGGTTTTTCCCAGCATTCAGAATCTGTGCTGGGATTCTGCATATTCTGTCAATTTAAATCTGGACTTCTTCATAGCAGAACTCCCCACCTCTGTAAGGGGTTTATTAGCTACGTGCACCAGGCACCATTGTGCCAGACGCTGTGCAAGCCCTGAACTGAAGGCAGACACTGTCCCAGACAGCTCGGCACTGCAGTGATGTGGTTGTCCACCTTCAGCGCACAGCTGACTGCCCCTTCTCTTGTAAAACGCTTATTTTAAAAAGTTGTTTTCAGTTTAATTTTTCAGCAACTAGAAGGCAGAAGTGTACATATTTTAAAACGTTTAAAACCTTATAGTAAAAGTGAGCTGAAAAGAGAAATAAACAAACTAAAAAAATCCCCATGAAGTACAGGAAACCACTGTCATTTCTAGAAATGCAGAAGAGAACAATTCCTGTAAATTTTCAGCAAAATGTCAATTAATCAGGATTCATTTATCTGAAAATGTCTTACCTGAAATGAGGTCACATCCCCTGACATGTATCATTTGTAGAAAAGACTCTTCAATTATCAAGCCCCTGTTTATCTGAATAACATTTATATCCCCTGAGTAATCACAGCGTCATATCGTGGTGGATCTCTGTGTGTGTATTTGTGTATAGGAAGAGACACCCGCAGATTTTATAAGTCTGTGATTATTTATGGAACTCATTGCCAAAGGACGCTACAATTGTTGGAAAAAGTAGACAAGTTTATGGAAGAAAAATATATCTAAGGATGTTAAATATAAAAAAGAAGATGCAAACTCCAGGTTAGGGAAGCCCATAAACTGCTAGTGTCTGGAAGGATACTTCTGGAGCAGAACAATTTACTCGCTGCTTGCCCTGTTCTTGCACTCTGTGCATGAGTGGCAGTGCTGGATGCTGTTAGCAAAGGACCCCGGGCTTTATAGCCTTCGGTCTAACTTAGGTGAAGTTGTTCCTGCATTCGTATGGTCCTCTTCTTACATGTGTGTGGTGCGAATGTCTGCATCTTCACATGAATGCATACGTCAGTGTATAAAACAGATGTGTAACAGCAGGAAGCAACTCCCAGGTTGGTCTGTATATGAGAGATCACACTGTGGCAGCTATATTCCCATTTGTGATCAGAGAGGGAGCTGAAGAAGGACAGAAGGACAGAAATATCAGTTTGGTTTTCTCCACTTTAGTCCAAAGAAAGGCCTGTCCATCAGCTGTTTGTCACTGGGACAGTGTGCACCAGCCTCTTACAAATCAGCAGCAAAAATTACAACCCACTGTGCGGTTTCTATAAAGCTGTTAAAATTTTGTGGCTTTTTGTTTTTGGACCAAAGTGTGATGAATTTCACAAATATTTTTATGAAAGGCTTGGCCTGCGTTCCAGTGAGCTCTGACGGTTCTTGTTCTTATCAGGCTGTGAATGCAATCACTACAGACTCGGTTCATCAGAAGGTCAGAAAATCTTGGCGGTTTGGGTGGGAGTAGTTTGACGATAAAAAGTTGATGATAACATAAAGCTCAGTTGCACAAGTCGCACATTTTGGCCGTGAATCAGCTGAACATTTAAACATGCGTTTAACGGTAAGTCAGTGGCACCGCTTTTGTACTCCAAGTTAAGCACCTGCTTAAGTGCCTTGCTGGTTCATGGCCAGACTGTTCATCACCCAGCAGACTGAAGTCCTTAAGGAAGACTTTTGGACTAGTGACATGCAGAGAGGAGGTCCGCATGAAAATTTCTGGAAATCTGAAATAGAGTCTGTGCTTCTCATACCATGACTTTTTAGCGTCAGATCTTCAGACACAGGATTCCTGCAATGTACATTTTTAAATCTCAAATGCTAATTCCACTGCTTGCTGTTGCATTCTTTCCTGCCCGCGTTAGTTTTGGCAATGTCCTGATCCCCTGTGTCACAGCTTGACTAAAATTACTCCCATAGCTGAGAACTAGCATTCACTGCAGCAATGTATTTTCCACTAATCTGTTCTCTGCCCTTCTTTCATATGCTAGCAAATGAGGATCCATTCTGGAAGGTATGTGTAGCAAAATTTGTGTATTACCAGCGTCTTTCTCATCACCGTGTAATTCTGTGCTTGCTTCTGGTTATTGTATTCTCTGTAAAGGTACAAAATTGCAGTATTTTCTTTGCCTTTCATACTGCTTGTGTGAAACATTTCCCACTTAACTAAATCTCTGAGCCTCTAAGTTAGAATTTCAAAGAGATGAACTCTTGGGCTTTCATATGCAAGGCTTCAGTTTAATCCCTTTGTAGAATCCACTGATTGAGAAATTGCTAGTCCAGATTTGTGGTTTCAATGAAAGTGTTAAGAAAAATGAGCAACCATTCTAGTTTATATAGATTAAATCTCTTTAAATTGAGGTTAAAATTAAGACTTTTTGAGCAGGTAATTTCTAAAGAGTAATATTTTGGTGAGCAATTTTTTGACAGGACTGAGTTGAATTCAAGATATAAGCCTGACCAAAACTTTCATGAAACATTATAATTAATATCCCTAAAAATGAAAATATGCTTTTGGAATTAACAAAGGTACAAAATTATTATTCCCCTTCCTGGAAAAGCACTGGGAAAATTTAGGCTTTTTTATAATGATTCACAAGCCATGAGAGTTTCAAAATCAGTATCTCCTTTATTAAAATGCACTTAATTATACAAAGAGTAATTAACGTTGCCACCAGATTAGCATAGCAATTTACTACATGACATTGTAACTTTGTTGATGAGTCTTAGTTCATTTTATATATTGCTTCAGACAAAGTACTAATCAGTCTTGTTGGAGAAAGGTTGTCAGAGCAAGTCTGAACAGAGAACAATTAGTGCCTGGGAGAACAGAGGGAGAGAGGAGCCCTCTAGAGGAGTTCACAAAAGAGGGTACATAGCAAAAGGTTGTACTCCAGCGTACTGTTTTCCTAGCTGCTCTTTGAGGCAATGGGCATAAAACACGGAACTGTGTTTTTTCCCCAGAAACTCCTCCTTGCTTGCTTCCTTCTGCTTTGGACTTGAAGGACAAGTGATCCACATATTGACTTTGACCCATGCTTCGGAATAGAGCTGTGCATGGTGATACATGTGTTGGAGTGACACGTTATCAAAACCAAGTGAAATAATTCCTACGTCACAAGCTGGCTATTTTAGTCGACTCCCTCCTGTGTTTGATTACTTGGCTTTTATTTTTCTATCATTCCAATTTATGGAACGTGCTTCTGGCTTTTTTGGTTTTTTGTTTGTATTTGTTGCTATCATACGCCATTACTTCTGTCTTCTTCTACAGCAGCCAGGGTCCTTTTGAAAATTAGATTTTGTGTTTGAATGAACCTGTCTGCTTCAAAGGAGGCTTTGAATGCTGTATAGAGAGAAGTTCTCAGTGGATTTTTACCCAGGCCATCCTTCTTCTTCTCTTGCAGAATGAGATCCACCACGATGAGCACTGCACTGCTTGCAAGCGTGGCGTTAACTTGCAGCCCTGTGGCACATGTCCCAGAGCATATCACCTCAACTGCTTGGACCCGCCCCTCAAAACTGCCCCCAAGGGGGTTTGGGTCTGTCCAAAGTGCCAACAGAAGGTAAGCTACACGGAGCATAGCACGCCAAGGAAAGAAAATGGGAGAAACCTCGAATTTGTGTTCCACTAAACTAATCTAACCTATGGTCACAGTTTAGGGGACCACATTAGCTAAAGTAATACTGAGAGGCTTTTAGTACAGTTTGCAGCATTTGCTTGTGGTATTTTCATTGTCCTAGAGTTACAACATACACTGAGTGCCTTAGCTTCCCTGTAATCACATCTCCTGAGATTTGTCCTTTTAAAATGTCTCTTCATTTCTTTTGTTTTCCTTCTTCACCGTAAAGCCACCAGCATGTAGGGTTGCCAGACAAGTAATGTAAATCTTATAGATGAGGGAGACAGTGCCAGAAGGAGACACTGTTCGCCAGTGGATCTGAAAGCTGTGAGGACACTTCCTTTTCTTTAAATCATGTTTATTACACACAGCTGTTCATCATAGTCATGTCAGAAAAACTAATTTGTCTAGCTGCTGTGAACAACGCTGATTGCATGAACAGGAAAACAATTACTAAAACGGTACAGTGTCACTAAATTGTAGAGTGGAGGCTTAGATTTTGTGCCTTAGAGTTCTTTGTGTTTAACATTGAGATCACTGTTATGTTCTTTTGAAAATGTCAAGGGGAAATTCCAGCATGCAGTTGCAGAGAGCAGAGCAGCCCAGGATTAGATCCGTGCAGTCATGTTTTGGTATGGACCAGGAACTTCTCCCACGCTGAGAAGATAACGCTCCTGGCAGTGTAGAGGTCTGCTTGTCAGGGGCTGAAAAATGTCTTCTAGCCACGGCAACAAGAAACAGAGGATTTGTAACCCCCTTTTAGAACTGTTTGGCAGCGCTGTGTGTAGTCATGTGTAAAGGAGCAAGCCCCAATGGAGATTGCAACTCACATTATTGTCTCATTACTTTTCAGCTTGTGAATTCTGAGACAAGGACCCGAGATCTGGTCCTGCAGAGCTGTGAGGCTGGAGGAAGAGAAATGTTAATGTCTGTCTTTGTGTAGTCCTAACTTTTTATTGTTTCCTGGGCTTATAGGTGTTAAAGAAAGATGAAAATGTGCCATGGACTGGAACTCTGGCTATTGTTCACTCCTATGTTACTCATAAAACAGGTAGGGATTAACACAGCTAACAACAAGGGATTCTCTGCTCGTGACGGGCGATGCCATTTGAGTCCTTCATGGCACCAATATTAAAACGGTGTTGTAATGCTACCAGGTATCATGATATTATGAAGCAAAGGGCCATAAGGGCCTGTGGCTGGGAACAGCAGCTCACTTTCTCTCCCCTTTCCTTCGGTCTGCTCCTTTGCTATCTTCTCTCTTTAAGGAAGCTGAGATTGGTCTCTCAGGAACTTCACTCTGTGGAGGCGGCTATCATCAAAGTGGTGCCTTCCTCAGAACAGGGCTGAAAACAGGATTTTAAGGCAGAATCATATCAGGCTGGGAGGCAGAGAGACACAGTCAGGCTAGGCAGAGCCATGTAACTGGGTGTGTAGCACAATGCTGGACTAGTGTCTCAGGTACCACAGTAATATCAGCTCCTAATTGTTGCAGTATCATTTGGTATCGCAGTCATTAGTATCAGATGTCATATGATATCTGTGCATTGACCATTACTGGTTTTTAGTTCCCTGGTGCACTCTTACAGTGGGCTCTTTGGGGCATTAGATCGTATTTGTACGGAGCTTTGCAGAGGTCTGGTACTGCTATGATTGTGCTTTTCAACCAGGGTCGCTGAACTATTGCCATTCCAGGTGGCTGACCTGTTCTTAAATACCTTTCACCTCTTTCTTGGAGACCTCCAGGACCACATGTGGTCCAAGGATTAATTTTAATTCATCTCAAAGGTGCACTGTAGCTTCTGGGTTGTCCTGTGTTCTAGCTGCTGACATAGACGCATGCAAGCAGAAACCCCAGATTATTTGGCTGTACCTGCTGACAAAAGGCTAATGAGACCTGAAAATCACCATTCACAATACATACTTCTGCTTTCTGTTGTCAAGCACAGAGTTTTGCCATATGTCCTTTTCTTAACTTCTGCATCCTTAATCTTATTGTTCCACAGTCAAAGAAGAAGAGAAGCGAAAGTTATTAAAGAGAAGCAGTGAGCTGAAGAGTGAGCATAGACAGTTAGAAGAAAAAGATCGACTTCTCAACAATGCAGTGAAGGTAGGACACCTGACTGGGGACACAGAGTCTCCTGCAGAGATACTTATAAAGAATTCATGCTTGAAAGCCTGATATTTTGTGGCTAGAAAATGATTTATGGTCCCAAGCTACAGATGTTCAAGTGTGAGTGTGTTTCTCTCAAAGGAAAAAACACATGGATTTTCTTTATGCACAAAAGCAAGCTGCTTTGGTGGGCTGAGGAGGAGAAATCACCAGTGACTGAATTCCTGTTGCACGCAAAAGCCACCCCCAACATAGCTGTGCCTGCCTTCCTTATAGTGCCGTACACAGCTTTCATCTGTCCAGTGACTTTAAGGCACTTCCATTCTCCAGGTGAAAAGTTTAGTCACAAGTGTGTCCTCCAGAGGTAGCTGCTTGTCCGCTCGAAACTCTTGAGATTAGGTAGAAATTACCATCTGTATTTGTCTTAGAGGCTGACTGTTGTAACCTCCTCATGATTGGAAATAGATTCACAATCCTTTTCTCTGTGAACTTGTTTCAAGCTAAACGTTGGCTGGAGATGTCTCCCACACATACTGTGCTATGAGAACCAGTCTCTGGCAGTAATGAGTGGGCTGAGTTCAAAGCCATAATTCCTATCCTTCATGGGTGAAGGAACTTCTTTGGGGCTACTTCACCTCAGGCCCACTCTTAAGGGGTAGCTGGCCTGGCAGTCTCCATAAATATTTGAAACTTCCTTACCCTGGAAGAATCAAAGTGGCAGCTGCAGGAGTAGCTGGTCACTAGTTGTTTTACCACTACAGTTATCAAGAAGAGGCGTATTAAAATATTTATCACATTTAAAATAGAGTGGAAGGAAAAGCAATAACTTATTAAAAGACATCACAGTGGGGAATATTCCCTCTAAGTATGTATAGCCCCCCTCAGCACTAATGGAAACACACATGTGTATGAAGAAGTGACTCTGGGGTACAGAATATCTTCAGTAGGTAGGAGACTGCAGTGGGATTAGGTGTTCGGAAAAAGAAAAGCATTTGGGGATGCAGTCAGCTGTCAGGTGTATGTTAGGGCTGTCAAAATCAGTAAGATTTCTACCTAAGCAGAATCAGGTTCTTTCAGTGGGCAACGCTGTCTTATTTAAATGGTAATATCAGCTGATAATTATATTTATTGGAGATATATCCACTTGAAAGGAGAAAAGCAATTAAAGGTGTTCCAGCATAGAGCAATTTCATTTCTGACATTTGCCTTAACGGGATATACATTAAAGAGAAAACTCTCATACACACCACGGGTGGAATGGTGGTATTTGGAAAAACAGAATGTGATTTATCCTTCACCTGAGATTTCACCTGTCTAAACCAACCTCTGACCAGCTTCATGCCATTGCTTTTCAAACAACTTGACTTTCAAGTGAGCATTTCCCCCTTCCCCAGGACTGGAGACTACCCCTTACCCCAGGTAATCTAGACCATAGCCAAAGAGGAGCAATCTGCAGACAAGTAACCAGTTTGCCAGATCCCTGGGCCCACTGGGAGAAAGAAAACAGGAAGTTTCAGATATTAGAGAGGCCACCGTTCCCTTCCACCTAGCAGACAGGCTCAGGGTTTTGGTCTGTTGCATAGTCCCTCCCAGGCCAGTTGATAGCGTAAAGGATGGGATGTTAGCTGCAGCGGTACGGGGCTGGGGAGGGAAAGGATTGTTACTGATTCTTCCTTATCTCTTCTTGGAGAAGAGGAGGTATTTAAAAGATATGTAGATGTGGCACTTAGGGACATGGTTTAGTGGTGGACTTGGCAGTGTTAGGTTTACGGTTGGACTCGAAGATCTTAAAGGTCTTTTCCAACCTAAATGATTCTATGGTTCTAAGAAGGAGATTTGGGATGCTTTTGTTGGCTCCTGCTGTCATGCTCATTTTCATGTAGGTTTGTATGCAACGTTTCAAGGGATTGTGGGGTGTAGTTTGGCCACCCCATAGGAAAAAGACTTTCTTGTGACTGCAATGGTATAACAGTAGTGTCATAGATCAAGTTTTCTGCCAGAAAGGTATTGACATCATGTTTAGAGAGATCAGCTTACCTTCACAGTACTGACTCCCTAAAATTTGTGGCACATACAAAATGCATCATGGTGAAGTTTATCCCCTCAAGCGTTTACCATCAATGCCGTTTGGTAAGATTTAGAGACGTCACTAGTGGCTTCGGTACTTTCCAGTAGTACAGCTATTACAGTCCTGTGCCAATCATCTCTTTGGGGTGCAGGAGGCATTTCTGCCAGGCTGTCGACAGGATGAGGTCAGAAATGTCCTCCGAATGCATTTGGACTGGGATGAACATTGTTACCTTAGAGAGCTGCTGCAGTGTATGCGGCGCTGGTGATTACTCCATTCGTTAAGCTGTGGTTTTGCTGTCCCCAAAGGAGAATATATTTCATTTGAGCAGGACGTGCACTCAAGACACGAAAGGATGTTTGGAGAGATGTTTGACACCAATTTGAATGTATTCTCAGTCTTTCCTTCTCTCTCCCCTTCTCTTTATTTGACAGAAATGCTTAGAGCTAAAAACCAGCCTGTTGGCCCAGCAGAAAGGGACTCAGTCATCACTGGAACGTCTCAAAACCCTCATTAGACTGATACAAAACGAGCAGATGATTCAGGTTACCATGACGACCACCACCACCTCCTCCCTGCTAACTGTCCCCTGGATCAAACCCTCCTCTGCCTCTGCTGCCATGCACAAAGCCTTGCAGCAATCACAGGGTAACAACTGACAGCGCCGGCTGCGAGCGAGCGAAGGAAGAGGGGGAAAAAACTTTATACACATGCGCAGAGGAGAGATTAAACTGAAACAAAGGAGAGAAGGAATGATCTCAGTTTTGATACGCGTAGAAACTTGCAAACCAATCAGTCCAGTTTGTAGGTCACTGTGGCAGCAGGTTCCCACAGAGCGGGTTGTGCTGCGGTTTTGTATTTGCCGAGACCTTCAGTGCTTATGAGATTTTTTTTGTTATGTTGGCCTTAATGTATTTATGACTAAGGATGAAGAAGAGAAGTATGGCCGATAGGAAGCGGGATATCCTTTTGTGGGGGGCAGACAGGTTTCCAGTTCTGCTTTAAGGGGAAAATTTTCAATGCAAAGAGTTAGTGAGCTAGTAGAGAAGTAGTTGGGCTGAAAGCTGTTTGTGGGAGGGAAGTCGGTGAGGTAACCAGAAACTGAACTACTTAGGACTCGACATGGATTCTTATCAGAGGAACAAAGTTGGCCCCGTTGATTCAGGTGACCTGGAGATGGGGCCGTTTTGACCAGAACGGCATCACGGACACTCACAGAGCCTTCGAAACAAAAGATCGTTTTTTTTCAGTATTATTAGAGTTGAGAATTGCAGATATTTAAATAAAGAAACTGTATGAAGTTAGCGTTTCTAGTAAAATATTGAAGTATTTTCATGCTGATGCTTCTGTATATGCGTTCCGAAGTATTTAAAAAAGTATGACTGTAAACCTCCTTACTTTTTTGCAGGTCCTTTTTACTTATTTTGCTATCGGTGTATTTTTCTCATGGAGTTTTTGTGCAAGATTTAGCATAAACCATAATAGTGGATATCTTTGGCAGGTTGGGTTTCGTTTTTTAAAGAGATTATTTTGGGGGTTTTCTTTTTTGTTAATTTTGGATTTTTTTTTTAAAGAAAAAAAGCAAATAAATATTCTGGTTTTTGTTTCTTGCCAGTACAGATAATATGCCAAAAAGATAACTTTACATTTTTGTTCTGCATTTTTATTGTTAAAAATATGTATGGCAATGCTTTTTTATTTTTTATTTTTATTTTTTATTATTTTTATTTTTATTTTTATTTTTATTTTTATTTTTTGCTTGCAGAAATGTCTGCTGAAACGGTACAGGAAAAAAAACAACTGCCTCGAGGGGTTGTTTCTCATACTGGATAATATGAAGAGTTCTGGGGGAGGGAGAGGCCGTGGAAAATTTTAAGGGTTTGTTGGGGTTTTTTTGGAAACTTGATTCCTTTTTAAGATTTTGTTGGATTTTAGCACATTTGGGAAGTGTTTAGCATTAGCCTGAGAAAATCCCAGTGCGCCTGCTTGTTTCACTAGCTAGTCTTCCTGATACTGCAAGGGTCCGCCTGGCCCCCCGTCGGCCACAGGCCCCTCTGTCACCCTGCGGCCTGCCCGGGAAGGTAGTGATGGGCACCCCGGTTTTTCTCAACGTCACACACACCAGATGCCATCGTCTCTGTCGTTTATGAGTTCTTCGTCAATTAGCACAACAGGTACTTAAGGAAAGCAAGAAGCCACCAGAGCACGACACAAGGCTAGTCTCTCACATCAGCATATCACATGGTGCCGAATATCTTTTTTTTTTTTTTAAATAAAAAAAACCATGAGGGACTGGCTTTTTCCGTCGCCCATCACTAGGCAGCACATGGTCCCTTCAACCATTTTCACAACTCCGGGAGAAACTGTGCAGTACTATACAAATCTATTTTAATACACAACACTCGGTTGAACAAGATTTTTATATTCTTTTATTGATGAACAAAGTGAACTAAGTAAAACACAGTTGTTATACATTGGTTATTGTATGCCAATTATGCATTCTAACGTGGCTTGCAATGTAAATGTTTTCAGGTTTAATGATTTTTTTTCCTTCTCAGACAAATAAAAAAAAGGAAAAGTGTGGAAGGTTGAATATGTGAAGAATTTCTGAAGAAGTGTCTTGGACTGTTAAAAGTAGTTATTTTGAAAAGGGGACTGTCCAGTGGATAGTGTGCATAGAAAAAAAAAGTGTTTGTCTTAAATATGCCGATGTAGTTTTACTTCTTTATGATGCATTAAACTTGATGATTGACAATTTAATGGCATTGTTGTCGTGGTGATCTCTGCTGCTGAGGGGACGCAGCGTGGCCTGCCCAGAGCCCACTGCTGTGACCCCTTCCCCGGCCAGACTCTGGCTGAGGGGGGGAAGTGACCGGTGCTGATTTCTCTGCCACTGTCTTAGATTTTCAGATTTAAATGATGCCAGCAGGGCTACAATACTTTCTGCTTTCCTTCTTGCAGGACAATAGCCTCTTCCTTGAGGCCGTCACATCTCCCAGGCAGGGGCACCTTGTCCACTCTCTTTCTTGGCTTCCCACCTCTTGGAATAATTTTCTGTTCCACCCTTCCCTGGATCTGTGCGCAGAGATGTTGGCGGTACCTCAGAACTCTCCCTTTTCCTCTTGCATCTCTCATGGGCTGCGATTTTGAAGTTTTCACTAGGATTTAAGCACTGCAGTGGGCTTGGCCTAAATTGACATGAATTGAGTCACTTCGAGAGCAAGCCTAGGGTTCTGAGATGGGAAAAAGGCTACCACAGGGTAACACGTTGCCGTACGTCAGCCAGGTTGTCTGCGCATGCTCCTTACATCCTCCGTGCACGTTGCAGGCAGCATAGTCTTTGCTGACGGCGAGTTACTGGAGAGAGACTTGCTGCAGAGCGAGGACAGGCAGTTGGCTGCAGCAGATCTGCTGGCGGACCCGTGGGCTTTGGTTTCAGACCCACGCTTTCAGGTGCCCTTCAAATGTGTGGTGGGCCCATTTTATTAAGTTGTTTATAACTCACTGTAAGTCTAGTAATTAATAAATGAGTGATAGGTCTCTCGCAGGAATTGTCTGGTTTCTGGCCGGTGGAAGGGACTGAACTTCCCAACAAAATGAACCAAATGAAAGCAAGACAGTGTTGCAGCTGCATAAAACCTAACACAGTGGCTAATGCTTATGCAGAGCAGAAGCAGGGTTGGGTTTTTTTTTGCGGGGGGTAGGGGGAAAGGGTATTTTTTGTTTGGTTGGGGTGGGGGCTGCCTTGTCTTCACTTCCTGGCAGTGTCACCATTTAATTTTGGGCTGCAGTTGGCAGCGGGAGCGCAGCACTGCGTCCTTGCTTCCCCTGCAGCTAGGCTGCCCCCTCCTCCCTCCTGGCCTCTGCTATGGGAAGGGCACCCTGATTTTTCCTAACATTGCTTCCAGTTTTAGAAGACACCTCTCCCCCAAACCAGCAAACCCAGGAATCATCTGTAATCATCATCCTTCTGCTACCACCCTAACCTATAAACTCGACGCTGTGCTAACAGGCAGGAGCCAATTACAGAGCTCTGCGTGTTGCCTTAATAATTAATGCGGTTGCAAGGAAGCATAGGCTTACGCTAGCCTTTAATCTTCGATAGTAATTTAAATTAAGGTTTTGGCGGAGATTTGTAGGAGCCACGGTAGCCTCAGCATTCCTTGCTGCGGCACCGGGCATTGTCTTTGAAAAGAATCGGGAGCCGCGGGGTTCCCAGCCTCCCCTCCCAAGCGTAAGTTATTTTTACAGCTATGCCAGACTTCACAGCTTCAGAGCTCTTTATTTTAACATGACAGACTGTTTTCTGTGCGTAGGACCTTTTCACATGCCATTAGTTATCTTGCAGAGGAGCTGCTCTGCAAATAGCCATTCGAATGAAACGTGTTGTCTCCAAGCCTGTCAGTTTTATATTTGCACCTCTTCAAATGTAATTTCGCCTACTCTTCCTCCTCTCACTGTCTCCCCTTCCTCAGAAATGAGAGGAAAAGGGACTCTTCTGTCTGTTGGGAAGTAACATGGAGCGATGCCAGCCCTTCCCAGTGAGCAGAATGCGGAACGCTGGCATGACTTGTTTGTGTCCGGATCTCAGATGTTTTCGGGCTTCATACTCTTAGAGGGAGGAGCCACAGTGGATCCACTATGCCCTACAGGCTCAAAAATCAGGAAGCAAAGTCAAGACCCCTCAATTTTTTTTATATTTAGTTCATGATCACTGGCAGCAATTTTTGCACGATGGATTTAACGGTAGCGTCAGTTCAGCCAGCAGCTTCTCTTGTGGTAGACCTCTATGTAAGGATGACGGCACAAACGCTACAACAGCTATATTAGTTTATTCTACATGCCAACATATATACCCAACGTGCTGGTTTCCTAGCAGTTTGATGACCTATTAGGAACACTTAAACTTTTAGAAGAGTGCATTATAAACTGATGCGTACTTTTTGTTCTGTGTTCTGCAGGTCCTCTGTAGTTGAAAAGAGAGACATTACACTGAAATGAGTGGCAACAGCCACATCAGATAAAACTCCACTCACTTTAATCAGGTTTTGCCAACGGCAGCTTATTTTGCTTAGAAAATGAAGCCTGGCTCCTGAGATCAATCACTAGCGACTGACTGGTGCAAACAGAAAATGCCAGACTCCGCTTCTGTAAGCCACTTTTAAGTTCACCATGGTGAATATCATTAAAGCAAAAGGGGTTTTTTTCCTCCCTTAAAAAAGCAAACAAAAAATTAAATTGTCATGATAGAAAAAATACTACAAAGCGTACACAGGCATATAGAGATTCTAGCCAGGGAGAAGGGAAAAAAAAAAAAAGATGCCATTGCTCTTTGAAGTTGTTGTTTGCATTTGTACTGGTGGATTGCAGAAGACTTCTATGCTGTTTGAATGCAGCAGAAATGCTACACCCCAACCTTTGATTATCAGCCTTGCTCATTAAGCAGTTACCACAGAAATTTTAATTCACTTTTGCATTTCATCTTTGGGCTTGAGCTGCAGCAATAAATAGCCTTTCCCCTCAATATTCATACTGGAAACATAGCTGACCGGCAGTCCAGTTGCTGTTGACAAAGCAATCTTCCAGTTGCTGAGATGTAAACTTCATCGTGAACATCTCGGTGCTTGTGCTTTGTCCATTCTGCATGGGAACAGCGCTA